ATCACTTTGTGCTTGCAGATGGACTTGCGGCCTCCGACCCATGGTGTCTGACTCCATACCTGATGACTACGGCTTGACTCGCATCGTGGGTGGTACAGGTGCCAAGCCAGGGGCCTGGCCGTGGATTGTCAGCATCCAGCATCCCTGGATACCAGGCCTGGCGCATTTTTGTGGAGGGTCTCTCATCACTGCAGAGTGGGTCCTCACAGCAGCCCACTGCTTCGACAAGATTAAGTAAGGAGGAGCAGGGAACAAAGACATATCCACAACACTAGCAGGTGCCCAGCCAGCAGCTCCACCTGCTATTCCCATCTCTTTCCCTTTCAGGCATCCCAGCTGCGACACTGCTTCAGGAGAAGCCTGGGCTTGTGCCAAGGCTTTCTAGCAGTTCCAACTTACCATTCCCCCAGCCTAAGGCATTCAAGGGCACTCACACCTGCCACAGCATGGCTCTCTCTCTGCCTTGCCAAGCAGAGCTCTGGCAACTGCTGGACTGCTGTGGCACATGGCTCTGCTCTCTCTCAGCCCTCCCTCCATCTCCATTCCAGGAAAATTGGCATCCTGAAAGTGGTGATTGGGGCCACTCATTTGACTCACCCTGGCCAATGGACACAAGTGCGCCGGATTAAGAGACTAGTTCGTCATGAAAACTATAAGAGAAGTGATATAACTAATGACATAGCTTTGCTGGAACTGAACGAGCCTGTCGAGTGCAGTCCCTACATCCAGGTGGCCTGTGTGGCTGACCCCACCGTAAGAGTCTCAGAGCTGCTAAACTGCTGGATTGCTGGATGGGGTACAACCACAGAAGGAGGTGAGTTCCCAAGAGAGAATTCATGCCTGCAGAGCAAGCTCAGCACACTGGGGAGAGGGCTTAGGCTTCCCACAGAAGAGAACAAAGTCAGGCTGCAGGATGTACACCTCTGCAGAGATGGGCCTGACATGAACCCCAAAGACAGGCAGCAGGAACACAGCACCCCAGTGCTTCTGCAGAGGGAAAGCCAAACCATAGGGCAGGAATTCCCATCAGACAGGGGAGGAGAACTGGGAAGGATCTACCAGGGGCTTCTTCCGTTCTCTGCTCACAGATGAAGATTTAAGTGATGACCTGCAGGAGGCCAAGGTCCAGCTCATCGATCTCCAGCTCTGCAACAGCACCTTCTGGTACGCAGGGGAAATCCACACCCACAA